CAAGCTTAAAGCATCAAGTTTGCAAAAAAGTTTTGTAATTTTGAATAACTGTGAAAAAATTCACATTAAACTATCAACTTTCACTGGATGGAAGGCTGTAGTTGCAATTGCACATCTTTCACCACCAGGAAGGTGACCAAAGCTTCCACTTCCTACGATTCTTTCTCTGTTTGTTTATAAGACTCCACCTCTTCCTGTGGACCTCATATGTGAGTTTACTGACTGTGTGGACTAACTGTGAAGCCAGTCCACAGCTACTCAGTCAGTCATAAACACAGCAACAACATGCTACACCAGAGGACCTTCAGAAAGACCACCATCCACTGCACCCCACGGTGAGATCACTGCTCTGTTTCTCCTTTCGGTCCAGACCAGATCATACGTGTTTCCTTTTTGTTTTTTTGTTTTTTAACTCTTTTCACTCTTGTTAGCTTTATGTTTATATGACACAAATAAAATACATGTTTTACTGTCAGATTATGAGAATCTGACTAACACATGTACTGGAAAAATGTTTCTATAGAACCTAAACATCCACATCCACATTTAGATGTCTCTTATTCTACATATTTGTTTTTTAAATATAAAATTTCAACAATAATCTTTAATGTTCTTGGAAAATAAATTATATTACAACAACAATAATACTAGTAGCAGTATTTTTCTCACCATGGATTAGTTATAGCCATGTAGAGATGGATGGATGGGATGAGAGTCTGTTTAATGTTCAGTTGTAATGGTTGTAATAACACCATCACATAATCATGAATAGGTAGTACCTGACCATGAGTACTGTCTTTAAAGAGGATCTGCTCACTCTGAACCTTTTACTCGTGGACTCTCTTAGAATAGCTTTGCACTATTCACAGTTCAAAATAATCCTTATTTTTCTTCTTCTGTGTTGATAGCCAGTGCTGTGTATCTGAGATCACCATATCAAGCACACCCCCACTCAATGACATCAAACACAGTCAAGAATAGAAAAAAACTACCTGAAAATTGTAAAGTGTAAATTTAGAGCCATTTGATTACTGAGCTTCCTGCTCTGAGCAAATAACTGTGCATCTCCTGACTTCATTATTTGAAATATTGTCCCTGTTTAATGTGACTTTGATGTATTACACATATTTAATGTATTCCTTTACTTAATTACTCACCAAGAAAATAATTTTGTGACTTTGTGTTACTACTCATTACATTACTTTTGTGTTACTCTCTAACCAACTCTCTGGCTTGACATGCATTGTGACACATACTAACACCAGTCCCTATCCTAAAGAGCCCATACATACAATATTTCTTTTGTGTTGAAGATTTAGTACAAAGAAAAATTGAAAACCAGCCTGAAGACACTTCAAACAATCACCACTGTGTTCTACTGTAGAAACCAGTGCTGGGAGAGAGGGAGGGCAGACTGACTGCTCATCACTGCCTGCTGAAGAGCAGGCTTTGGCTGCTGGGCTGGAATTGGTATTCACTCAGCTTTAACATCACTCTGGGCTTTTCAATAGCTTTGTGTTAACATGCAGTCTGCGCAGCTATTTTCAAAAGCCAGTGATGTGTTTGTTTTTGTATGTCCGGAAAACAGCGGCCTGTGTGGAAATATTTGAAACTGTTTGTAACAAGAGTACAAATATAATTGGAATTGTATTCTGATTACTGAATTTAGTATAATAATGAGTTGCACTGCTGCCTTAACAAAAACGTAATCTATTACTTTGTAGTGCATTACACCCAACACTGGTCCCCTTTAATTTAACTGTCTTGATTTAGAACCAAATAACTAATCATCAAGGCCTAAACAGCTTAGGGGCCCCAGCAGCACAGATAGCCCAGATTGCCCCAGACTCATTGATCAGCATCTAGCAGCTGACAGATGTTTCAGGAAACATCTAGAATAATTGCTCCTTTAAGGATTAACATGGCAGACTCTCTAAGAGATATTTTTCCCATCACCTTAGTTGTTCTTTTTTCACCTCTTAGTTTGTTTCCTGTCTCTCACTCTTGTTTCCCTTTGCACCAAACACCCTCTCTCTCCTAAATCCTACAATCATCATCACACACTAATTATTAGTGGGAGCAGTGAGGGGCAGTGTGGCTCCTCTGGCTGTTGTTCAGTCTGCAGTATGGGAGGCATGCTGAAGGCTGCCAGAGCTGCTCCATGCCTCATAGACATGGACCGCCTGTTGGCTCAGTCTAGAGGACTCTTATTTGATGAAGCCTTGGATATTAAATGCAAAATGTTCACCTAGCCAGGAAACTTTTTGACTGCAGCTGCATTTTGAAGGTAAGTTCAGACAATTTATCAAACTGAGACAAGGTGAACAACTGTTTGTGAAGCTATTGAGTCCTCTGGTGATATATTTGTGGATTAGGAAGGTGTTTGATTACACTTCTAAAGGTTTCAGAGGGGGTTGGGATTATTGAATATGACAGAGATGCAATCTTGGCATCAGAGCAGTTTCCACACTAAGTGAAGTTCCTCTGTCTCAGCTGTGTAAAAACTGCCTTTGTCAATCACTGATAAGAAAACAAAGAGATGCTATTCCTTTTATGACGGCTGTAAGCCTGATCATTTGAGTCAATGTTTGTGTATCAGTCCAGCTGAGGAACAATGTCTAAATTAAACACTGAAAAAAATACATAAAGGCTTTCTATAGCAGGGTGTTAAGGTATGTTTTCTGATTGGTTCAGCTACATTATCATCACAAGTTAATGCAACCTCTATGATAGTCAAGCAGAAATGTACTTGCCTGCAATAAAATGCTAACACGGGGCTACAAACAAATCACACGCTTGCACGGCTTCAGCACTGGCACCACTAAGCTTGTGTGTTTGGTACAATGCTGCTGATTGTCCTTGACAGCTACTGTAGTCTCATTTTTCCACTCAAACACCGTCAAATGTCACCAACTGGGTAATTAAAGGTAAAGTAATGTAAAGTGTCAAATGCAAATTCATTTTCTCTATTTTAGGACTCATTCTAGTGGCCTTCTATTATGGTGAAAATATGACATATTAACCAGGAGCTAGAGATGAGAAAAGACTTCTGATTTAAAGGTTGCTCTATATTTTAAATTAGTTATAGTGGCTGTATTAATGATTTATATTAATGATCAAATGACTCTGTTCAGTATGAAAGAGGTCACCCACAGTGACAAACCCACAGAGAATAATATTATTATTATTACTTTTCTATTCTCAGCTCTGTGGAGCTTTTTGAATCTTTCAGCAAGTCAATTGTGAATGTTTTGGGACTTTTTTTTTAACCAAACCTACATTTTTCTGTCTATATATGAAGACAACACAGATTAATACAAATGTTAGCATGCAAATAAGACATTTGTAGCTGTTGGTGGTCATGGCGACTATAAAGCGGCTCAGACAAACTACAAATTGTACAAACGGTTGTTATATTTCTAAAAAAAAAAAAGTTTTTTTCTTTCATAATTCAAGTTTGAGTCTGTTTGTTTGTTTTCTCCTTCTCCCTTTGTTCACCATTACTTCAAATGTGATTGGACTTCATGCCCTCATAGCTCCTGTCCACACGAGAACAAAAATTTTGTTGCCTTCAGTGTCACATTTTTAAGAATTGAATATACACATGAGGAAACAAATAAAAAATAAAAATAAAAATTTGATATAGTCTCAAAATGTTTTCTCCATATTTGGACTGAATGATGCCACCACAGAGCTACTGTAAACTGTAGCTGTTAATTTAATTACATGCAGCAAAATGACTTTCCAGCAGTCTGGATCATTCCATTAATGTTACCTCGCCGTGAGGAGCCGCGGAGTCTGGTTCTCAGCCATTAACACCAGCTGTCTGCACTGTTCTATTAGCAGTCATTGTAACAGTCAGAACAAAATATGTGCCAGATGAAGCATCTTTAATCCAGTCTACAGTAAATCCCACTGCTTTACCATCTCTTTCACTTTTTCACCTACAGGATGAGAAAAACAGTGAATGTTCATATTATCATGTGGTTTATTGTTTGTTTATATTCTCCTGAGAACCAGCCCATTCATTTATGTCCTCTGTAATAAACATTTGTTTTTGGTCTATATCTTTTGACTTATGAGTTATCCTAATAAGTCCTGATGGACTAAATAGAGGACACCCTGGTCTTTCCATTGATATCTCATGTGTTTGGGTGGCCTCTTTTAGCTCCATAGAGCATAGGTGTCAAACTCTGGCCCGCTGGCCAAATTTGGCCCGCAGCCTAATTACATTTGGCCCGCGAAGCCATACCAAATTACTATTAGAGCTGGCCTACTGGTATTACACAGCTAATATATATTGTTTAGTATTAAGCTTTGCTTGTTCCATATTCAGTTTTTCAGCAAAACGTGTTTGAGTCCATAAGAAAAGATTCTTTCTTAAATCTGGAGGAAGATTTATTTTTCAACAAATATTAATGTTAGCCCGCGACCTTGTTCCAGTTGTGAATTTTGGCCCACTGTGTATTTGAGTTTGACACCCCTGCCATAGAGAAAGGAAATTGCAAATAACATTCAATGGGAAGATTCATTTTGTTCATTTTATCAGGATATGAAGAAGTTATGAACTTGCAATTTTATCTTACAAATCTCACCGGACTATTATTACCTAGGATCATCAGATCTACTAATTTATAATAATTGCTCGGATGACCTGTGAATGTCATCCCACATGTGTTTACTGTTTATAAAGACCACATATCTCCCTTATTATACCAAAAACAGGACATCCTGCAGTGGCTATTAGTCCCAAATGACAAATAGTGACCTGGTGATTTGAGGTTGTTTTTTGTTTTCTCTGCTCACGTTTTCTGCCTCTCTCTAACTCAAGGTTTAGAGAGGCTGCGTTTCTTTATAAAAATCGTGACTCACATCTCTACACACCACAGGGACCCATTCAAACAAATGGAAAGCTCCATTTCCATTATAAGAGTAAAATCTTAAAGCATGATGAGACGGATGAGATGGATGGCAGCATGCATTAAGGAACATTTTAATGTCTTTCAAGTGACTCAACAGTTATTATCTGGCAGCCTATTAGTAACATGAGATGTCTAGCTGAGTGTGCCAGACACTTTCAAAATTTCAAATTCAGAGAGATTTTTCAGTAAATTGGATTAAAATGTGCATAGCATGAAACACAGATATGGGTTGGGAATGGAGGTTTCTTTTTCACAGGAATGGTCTCTGATGCCTTGCAAATAGGGCGTTATGCAAAGCCGAATTGAGCTATGGACTTCAGTATCCACCATTGAAGTCAACCAATGTTGTCCATTTCACCTATAGTTCTGGATTTAAAGGAAAATTCAATGAAAGTTTCCATTGAAAAAAGTTT